GCCATTTGTTTAAAAAAAAAAAAAAAAAAAAAAAAAATCAGCTTTATATGCAATATTCACTGCTGTGCTGTCCTCCTCAGTAATTTTTTTTGCCACAAGATGTCCTCAGTCTCTAAGGTTGAATGATACCCAGTGTGATTTATACCACTTCCTGTTGGAAAATTGTAACTGTAAAATGTTCCAGTGCAGTACTTTATTTTTTGGGGTTTTAATATCTATATATACTTGCCATGACATGGATATAAATATGAAAAAAACTCCCATATTAAACATAACCAAACATACAAATAGTGCATCACTTTATTTTTACCTGAAAAAAATGTAACTTTTTTTTTAGTCGCGAACACAGTAAAATATACACAAAAACACATTCCATTTCAGAAGGTGGTAGACTCATTGTCTTGTTCTTTTTCATTGTAGGGTACACCATCAGCTCATCCAGCTCTTTGCCCGGGGAATTGAAGACATGCCATGCAGATACTCCTCATCACTACCTCCGCCATGATGCGTAGAGCTTATTTTTGATGACACGTCTGGTCAGAACAGAAGGGATCATTTTTATGCTGCTGGTACAGCACACACTGCTCAGTATGGTGCCCAACAGGTTGGGTATAGGAAGATATCAAGCTCCTCACACAGCCATGTACTTTTAACCCCTGCTGGAGATCCTCTGTGTACAGTTCAGGCTTTGGCAAATGCCTCATAGTCATAATACCTTGGAAAAGTACCAATATTTATCTACCCCATAATGGGGCACTGGTTATAGCTACAAGTTAACTTATAAACAAAAAACACATACCAAGCCTGGAGCTTGACTGAACTATTTATGTTTGCAAAGGAGCAACATTGGATTCATGACAGTTAAATATTTTCGGACTAATTCCTGCAAAACTTTCCTAATGTTGCAATAAGAATTGTACAATGAAAGGCACTACTAGGTGGCTGGTCACCTTTAAAAAAGCAGGTTATAAAGAACTATTGTGCTGTCTGTGGATTAGTATAAATTGTGCTTGTGAGACACCTTAATTTGCTTTAGTCAAATTATTTTAATATGTTTGAATTGATCTAAAACAGTTCCTTCTTGTGTCAGCATAAAAGTGATTTAAGGTGGCACTCTGATGGGGACAGCGAATCATTACTTGTACCTACCCATTAGAGTGTTTTCTTACATTGTTTGCCCCCATTAGAGTGCCCCTTAGATTGGTTGTTCCCATCAGAGTGCCCCTTACATTAGTAACATGTAAGAGGGCATTCTGATGGGGTAAGTATTGTAAGAGGGTGCAACACCACATAGAACTTGCCTCATTATATTGTTCATTTGGCCATCAATGTGATTCTATAAGTCTGGCTTATATTATGATTTGATACCTTTAAGAGGTTGTAACGTGAGCATCCGAAACCACAGAAAATTATATCTCACAATGGTGTGTCACCATTTTAGCACACATTACACAGCCATGGTAAACTATTGTCACCATCTGGAAACCTGTCCTGTGAAATGCCATGCGGCCATTGCTGGAGTTCATGGAGGCAGAAAATGGCTGCCAAGAAGAGATCGTCAGGAGGTGTGACAAACATTAAAAAAAAGGTGAAAACTGTAGTATATTTTTAAAAAGACAATTATTTATAAAACATTTTATAAATGCCATTCTGTTGGATGTTACATAGTTACATAGTATTTGAGGTTGAATAAAGACATTAGTCCATCAAGTCCAACCTAATGCATGCTCTTGTGGTTGTAGTTACTGCACTTATATATGCGCCCTCTGCATGTCTGTGAGTCTCTGTCTAGGTAAGCTAGAAAACTGAACTGTAAAATAAATAAAAAATACAATAATAAAGATGATATAAACAGCGGTGGTGCCCAGTATCACACAGCAACCACTGAAGAATCAGACTATTAGAGGATCAATTAACGATTTGCCACAAAGAAAAGGATCTTTATTTATTATTTTTTGTTCTTTATCTTACTGTTAGCTTTGTGAATTGCAATTTGTTTTTAGTCTCTGACTGCACAAAGCTGCTAAAAGCTGATTTATGATTGGTTGTTCTTGGTTACTACAAGACCCTGCATTCTGCACTGTAGGCCTTGTAAACCAAAGAGAGTTTGATTGTTGTTGTCAGAAGGATCATTTTTATGTTGCTGGCATAGCAAACATTGCTCAGTTTGGTGCCTCCAGGATGGGTATAGGAAGATGTCAAGCTCCTCACACTGCCACACACTTTAAACCCCTCCTGGAGATCCTCTGTGTTCAGGTTTTGGCAAATTCAGAGTTAAGTCATTTATAATAATACTAATATTTATCTGTTATACCCCATAAGGGGGCACCACTTACAGCTACATGTTGTTTATTTATAAACAAAAAAAATATGCAAGGCTGGAGCTTAGGACCCCATTCACACCAGGGCGACAGCGTTTCAGCACGCTTTATGCGCTTTTTTTTTAGTGTGTTCTTGTGCGATTTTTATGCACGGTTTACAGGCATTTACGATTCATATGTCATAGCCTTTTAAGGTGTGTTTTCAGCATGTTTTCAGTTGTCCAGTGAAAAGCAGTCTTAGCTGCAAAAACGTGAAAAAAAGCACGCACAAATGGGCTGATCGACGCTTTTCCATTGAAGTCTATGAAGAAAAACGAGCTGATAAGTGCCACAAAATAAGCTTGGGGACTATTTAAAGCAACAGGCGTATTTTGATACGCGATTCAGCACATTTGCACAAAGGCCCCCATAGGAATACATGGAATTTAAATTTTGCATGCGTTTCATTGCTGAAAAAAACGCACAACGAAACGCCCTGATGTGAACGGGCCTAACTGAACTATTTATGTTTGCAAAGGAGCAGCATTGGATTCCCGAAAAAAAGTTATACATTTTTGGACTAAATCCTGCAAAAATGTCAATAGGCATTGTACAATGAAAGGCACGATTAGGTGGCTGGTTACCTTTAAAAAGGCAGACTGCAAAAAAACTATTGTGCTGTCTGTGGATTTGTATAAATTGTGCTTGTGAAACACCTAAATTTGCTTTAGTAAAATTCCTTTAATGCATTTGTTTCATGTTTGAATTGATCTAAAACAGTTCCTTCTTGTGTCGGCTTAGAGTTATCATTTGCAGACAAATAGCATGCTCTTGTGGTTGTAGAAAAATGGTTGGAGGCCAACTCTACCCTCTGTGCAGGGATGGCCAAACTCTGGCCCTCCAGCTGTATGTAGTGAAACTACAAATCCCATGAAGCATCTCTCTCCGGGAGTCATGTCTGTGGCTGTGAGAATCTTGCAAAGCCTCATGGGATTCGTAGTTCCACCACAGCTGGAGGGCCGCAGTTTGGCCATCCCTGCTCTTGTGTCAGCATAAAGGTGGTTGTTTGAAGACCAGCAGTGTCGGTTTAAAATTGGTCATTTTTCCAGTTTAAGTCGAGAGCCAATGAAGATATAATTTGTCTGACAGCAATTTAGGTGGCATTTAGCAGCACTGTCCAGGTTGACCCATCAAAGCCATGACAAAGCCCTATTTGTTGATTTATAAATGGCACTGCAGAAATACACACCCATCACTCTGCTGTTCTTAAATATATGCCAGTAGTGAAGTGGTTCAAGGTGTTTCCGCAAACAATATTGGAAAACAACTAGATGGAGTAGATGGATTCAAAACAAGGAGCCTTCTGTAGGTCGGCATTTTTTAATTGTATTTATTACAGGAAATTATATAGTGCCAATAATTTACACAGTGCTTTACATAGTGCAAATTTACATCAGTCCCTGCTCTTAAGGAGCTTACCATCTAAGGTGCTTATCTTACATGCCTACATACAAGGACAATTTAGAGAGGAGCCAATTAACCTTCCAGCATGTCTTTGGAGTGTGGGAGGAAACCAGAGTACCTACAGGAAACCCACACAAGCACAGGGAGAACATGCAAACTCCTTGAAGATAAGGTCCTGACTGAGATTTGAACCAGGGACCCTGAGTGGTGCAAGGCCGAAGTGCTAACCACAACAAATGTGCTGCCCAACTAACTTATTACATCGACCAATAAGGCCTGGTTCACACCTGGGCGTTCTACAGCGCGCTCCTACGCTCTGTAAAACGCTCAACATGTGAAAAACAATGATTGCCTATGGGCATGGTTCCCACCTGGGCGTTTTACAGCCCGTAGGAACGCGCTGAAAAATGTGTGTGTGATGTCCATTTGTATGTGTGTGATAGCCGTTCAGTCATATATGACCAACAGCGATTCTATAGGCCAGCTCTCTGGGCACCATGTCTGATGCGCTTGAGAGCCTTCCCATAGAATCTTTTTGGCAAGTTGTTTACAAGGTAGGTCGTCAGCTATATTCTCAACCCTCCCCATTTACATGGGCTTGGGAATGCTATACAAAATTTGCTACCACATATCCATAGCTAATTTGTACACACATACTAGGACCAATTTAGACAAGAGCCAATTACCTACAAGCATAGCAAGTTTCATACAAATATGCTGCATGATACTGTTAGCTGCAGAGGTTAAAAATAGGGATGCACAGATACTTTTCGCTTACCAGTGCAGATACTTGGCATTTTCAGGGTTGCTGTGTTTGCAGCGGGACCTGGCTCTGGCACTGAACTCCTGGGGTTTCAGAAGAGATCCTACAAAAATGTTGGAGATGTAGGGCTGCCCAAGTTCGCAACCAATAAGAACCAGTGGGATCAGTCAAGGGAGATAATGTCGGCCAAGTGGCACTTTGAAGAAAATGTGTGGCTTTGAATTTGTCCTTGGACCGTAAATAAAGAAACGCTGCATCCGACACTCCTGGCAGAAAGTAAGGATTCCCCAGAATAGGGCAGAGTGGAGAAGGAGCAGAAGCCAATGAGAGACTGCAAAGCATGTCCACAAATCAGAAGGGTAGGACTGATAAATGGGTGGGATTTCAAGTAAGTTGATAATAAAGTACTATCCAAACAAAAAGGGAGCCCAGTGAAAAGGCTGAGTATGACTCTTCTATCTGAACCCATATTTTTTGGAAAGAATGCCTAAGCTAAACAATCATTCTATTTAGACGGCAAGCTAACTGATAATTTGCCAAGTCTGCTAAAGCAATTCCTCCATGGGACTGTGGAGCCATGAGGAGAAGGAACTTCAGTCTAGGGTGTTTAGGAGCCCAGATAAACTTTGTAAAGGCGGATGACACAGACCGGAGGAAGCTCACTGGGATCTTGATTGGTAGGGAGTCCATAACAAAAAGTTAGGCAGAATGGACATTTTGATGGCATTACTGCATCCAAACCACGAGAACTGCCCTGGGTTCCAGCGGTCAAGCAAGGAGCGGACTTCAGTGAGCAAAGGAGGAAAATTCAGTTGGTTCATTGGGAATCCACATGCCCAAATAGTTGATGGCATTGGAATCCACTTTGAAGGGGAAGTTAACTCGTAACCACCTTTCGTGACAAGGAGGGAATGCCGCCTGGAGGACTTCATATTTCTTAAATTCCTGTAGAAAACAGGTAAAGAGACCTCTGGGTTAGTGATTGAAAATAACATATCATCCGCATAAGCGGAAACCTTATGTTCCCGCTTTGTAACACTGACCCCCTTAATGTCTGGATTATTCTGTATAGAACAGAGAAAAGGTTCTAAAGAAAGGAAAGAGGATCGGGAAGAGAGGACAACCCTAACAGGTCC